AATTTGGTCACCGACCGAACCGAATTAATCATAACTGAATTAACCGAATTTTTCTTTAACCGTTAACCAAACCGAAATTTATTGTGATAAATAACGGAAACATAGAGAGTTTGGTGGCAAGATAATATATTCTTTAAAAGAAAAAAATTTAAAGACAATAAATTTCGGTTCGGTTAACGGTTAAAGAAAAAAATTCTTAATTCGTTTATGATTAATTTGGTTCACTCGGTGACCGAATTAATCGTTTGAACACCCTTAGTTGTAAGCTTTGAAAGACAAATAATTTTTTTAAATTTTATCATTAACAAACCTTTAATTGTTAACCGAACCGAAATTTATTTGAAAATTATTAATCGAACCAAACAAATTACGGTTAATTTTCAAATTAACCATTTTTTTTAATTTATATAACAATTGAATATTTTTTAATTAAAAAATAGTTTACAATTAATTTGAATAATAATTAGTTGTGAATAATTTATTTAATTTTTAATAATTTATTTAAACAAATAATTTGTTTAATTTTTTATCCTTAACAAACATTTAAAAGACAAATACACATTTTTGTAACTTTAAACCATTGGGTCAATTGTTTGGGCGCTTGTTGCTCTATACCCCAAGACCTTGGTTTGATTCTCCTTGAGCTCTCTTTTTTTCATTTCAATTTGTGGTGACACGTGTCACCACCTGATTAGATAAAAAAATTATTTAATTAAATAATTTAAAATTCATAAATAAAACATTCCAATCATGTATTGACACATGTTACGTTCTATTTGTATAGTTAAATTTATTTAATTGAATTAAAATAGTGACTAAATTAATAGAATATGTTAATATTAAGGACCAAATATATAATTATGCCAATTTTATTAACGAATACATCACCACATCTGTTAAAAATTAACGGTCGAGCTAATAAAATAGTTGGGTGGTATGATTGATTCAATTAAAAGTTCGATGGTCAAATTGATTTTTGACCATAGTTTAGTGGTCTTCCGTGTAGTTTACCCAAAATTTTAATAGTTAAGGATAGTTTGGTCATTTTCTCTATAAGACATTCGGATCATTTTCTTACTTAGGGGTACTTTGATTTTTCTCTTATTCATAGGGGTATTCTAGTCATGTTCTTACTCGTATCAATTTATTCTTTTCATTACCTCTGATAATTTCACACTTAGACACAAAAGTAATTTAGTCATTTGAATTTATAAGAGCATTTTAGTAATTTTCTCACTCGATCGTATTTCATACATTTAACAGATTATGAAAAGAGTACTTAATTAACTATTAATGGATCTTATAATATTTTAGTAATTAGGACTAAAAGCATTTTGGTCATTTATGTTACTCGAGGGCATTTTAATCTTTTACTAAAAACTTAACTCACAATTCTTGATTCTTATGACATTCTCATAAAATTCTATGCTTTTATGTTCATTACTAATAATTAATATTCATTATTTATGATATCTAATCGTTTTAGTTCTAGAATTTTTTTTCGAGAATTCATAAATTGGTTTTAGTTAACGGTTTGAAAATCTTTTTTTGGTTTCCATTAAATTTCTATTTTATAAGTAATGAAACCAGACTTCAATCTCTTAAATGTATATTAAATATCATATTATGAAATCAAATAAAAATAATTAATCGTCAATCTTCATATTTATTTAATACAAAATTCACATAATCAATAGGTAATCTATTATTTTTTTAATAATATAAGATGATAACAAAATAATATATGTTTAAAGCTCTTTTAATCTGTTGACAAAGTACAAATAGTGGCGGAACACAAGATAGATTAGTGGGATCATGCCCCCTAAATTTTAAAAATTATAATTTATACCCTTGAAACTTTTTAAAAAATTAATTTGATCCCCTCAAAATTTTTAGAAATTCATATTAAATTTAATTTTTTTAATGTTGTTAATTAAAACGCATATGATATTAATGATATTAATGTCTGCATATGAATACTGTTCAACTCTGTATTTATATATTTATTTATACATGCATTGCACTTTATCTATATTTTTAATTTTCTGACTGCCGGAGGTCTTCCACGGAAGCTACTCTCAACCTGGCGTTGGGGGCAGCCTACTATCCTACCTCCCCCTTACCCCATTACATATAGGAATTGGGTTTTGTTATTGTTGTTAATTAAAACCCCTCCCATGTTTTTTAAAAATTCTCATTAAGCATCTCAAATTTTTTTTTTAAAAAAATTAGTTATACCCTAATTTTTGGAAAAAGTACAAACTAAACTCTTCAAAAAATTTAAAATTTTTAATTTAAACTTCTTAATTTTTTTAAAGTTTTAACTTGACCTCCTCCAAACTCTATCACCAAATTTCACACTGTATACTACCTAGAGACGCTTCTACTTAAACCTAAAATTTATATAAAAATTAATATTTTCTTTCATTAATGAGATCACTTGATGAATTTAATAATTAATTTATTATTTAATTCAATAATAGGATTCAATTAATAGCACTGACTGGACCATCAACAAAAGCAAATCACCTGATTTATCGTTGAATAGTGTTAATTTATTTAATATAAGTTAATTAATGAGACGAATCTAAATAACGTGGCCTTCTGGAAGCTGGAATATCGGCACATGGGTTTATCGATAAGTCAAATCTTGTACGACAACCTGTACTGTTCAATTTATATTTGGATTCATCCAAACCCAATTTGTTAAAAATGCTAACGTGACACGATCTTAATATACCGTTAAAAAAGAATATTATTGATTTTATTATTATTTAAATAATTAAATCGGTAAAAAATTATCAGAAACATTATTATTTTTATAAGTTTTATTATTATTAGGCGTTTTACCGGATTTGATAAAACGTGACCAATTTTATTATTTTTCTACCAGTTTTGTTATTGTTGGATACTTTTACCGAAAATATTAAAAAAATTGATATTTTAAGTAAAAATAATAATAATTTTAATAATTTTTTACTGATTTTATTATTTAAATAATAACAAAACTAATAATGTCTTATTTTAACTATATTAGATTTGAAGTTTTAATAATGGATAACACACCGAGTGGTTTTAATAATTGAAAGAGGTATTGTTATCCTTTTATGTTTGAGTTTGAGTACGGCAGGTATATGTGTTGTCAATAGTTAAGAAATATTGTAAACAGATGTTAAATAATAGGTGAGTGATCAAATAAGTAGTTTACCTTTAATAATTTGAGAACATTAAGTATTTAGTCAGTTATTCACGTAGTTCTGTTTTGGTCAACTAGCTTATTTTATCTTTCAAAATCATATATAATTTTATATTTTGGTTATGCGTTGGTTATTCATCATCAAAAAATGACAATGATGTTAACATATCACTATAAGATAATGCAACATCGTCATTAAAAAATAAAAAATGACACATCAACAGTTTTGTTTATTTTTTAGCGGTGGATAACTGAAACGAAACTAAAACATAATAGGGTAAAGTATAAAAATGGTCCCTCAACTATAGAATACTTATTTGTTGACTCCCCCGACTATTAAAAGTTATAAAATGATCTCCCGACAATAGGGTGTTGCTTTGTTGAGTCTCTCAACTTTTAAAAGGTACAAAATGGTCATCTCACTATTCATTATGTTCCGAAATTGTCATTTTTCGTTAAAAATTTAACTATCATCTAGCTGGACATTAACATGTTGACTGAGATATGATAGTAATTTGATATTATGAGATTCAAATTTTATCATATCTCAGTCAGCAAGTTAACATCCAGTTCAGATTGTTGTTAATTTTTTAACAGAAAATGACGATTTTGGAATATAATAAATAGTCGGGTGACCATTTTGCAACTTTTAATAGTTAGAGAACTCAAGAAAATAATATCCTATAGTCGGGGGACCATTTGTGTACTTTACCCAACATTATATTAAGTATGATTTTAAAAATTAATAGTTATGGGACCAAAACAAACCCATGAGAATAAGTAGGTTAGTAAATACATAATTTACCCTAATAATTTATATGAAAAACCAAATGATCAAACAAATACGCTAGTTGACAAGTCTAATTAAGAAGCCTGAAAAGTTTTAGAGCAAATCACGCGTAACTAAGAAGCATTATCATATGGGGTCCTACGAACGTAGAAAGGCAGGCAACACATCCCACGGCTAAATTGATGCCACTTTAACATGGGCGATTACTCTTCCCTTTCCACTTGCGTATAAAACTAAGGGTAGGTAACCCTTTTTAGTACGTACTTCGCCTTCAAACAATTCCTCTGCTGTTTCCACACCACAACAATGGCTTGGTTACTCACTTTTTGCTTTTCTCTCATATTCTCTCTATGTAATTGCTATCGTACTCCAGTCAGTCCCCCGTATCATGATGGTAAATACTCAACTTTTCTTTACTATTTCAACTTCTCTTATAATCCATTTAAAAGAACTTACAAAGGGAACGAATCAAGTTGTTTCAGTGATTAAGAGATTTGTTGTTATACTTTGAGGTTTTGGGTTCAAAAATCATGTATATATGAGTATGAGAGTTCATTGTCAAGGAGTTTATAGTCTTTTAATAGATACTAATTTGTATTCACCTAAAAAAAATTTACAAAGGACCTATGTTTTTCGGGTAAACTACTTATTTAGTCACTCACGTATTATTTAATTTCTGTTTTAGTAATTAAATTATTAGTTTTTTTTCCAAAATCATATCTAATGTTATGTGTTAGTTTTGTTTTGATCATCCATCCTTAAAAATTAGTGGTGATGCTAACGTGACATTTTTCTTTAATTATTTTTCGATGATGACGTGACAATTACCCAACGGTGATATATCAACATCATTGTTACTTTTTTAATAGTGGGTGACTAAAATAGAATCAAACGTAACGTTAAATAATGATTTGTAAAAAATTAGGTGGGTGATCAAAACAAAAACTAAGTAATAAGTGGGTGATCGGATAAGTAGTTTACCCTTTTGTTTTGGCATTATACAACACGAGTGCAATGAACTGTTTCACGCTTTGTTCAGGATTTTTAAACAATGGTAACTTTGAACAAGCACCCAAGAAAGAAAATCTAAACAAAACAGTGATAGTGGGAAAACACTCACTTCCGGGATGGGAAATCGACGGCCTGGTGGAGTTTGTTTCCGGTGGTCCGCAACCTCGAGGGTTTTACTTTCCGATCCCCCGCGGAGCACATGCTGTTAGGCTCGGCAACGAGGCTTCCATCTCTCAGAAGCTGAGTGTGAAGGCTGGATACATTTACTCCCTTACGTTTGGTGCCACAAGGACTTGTGCTCAAGACGAGGAGCTCGGGATCTCCGTCCCCGGTCAAACCACCGACATCTCAATTCAGACGTTGTATGGTGCCGATGGAGGCGACACTTTGGCTTTGGCATTCAATGCAACAGCTAATGTGGTTAAGGTTACATTTCATAACCCTGGGATTCAAGAAGATCCTACTTGTGGACCTCTCTTGGATGCCGTTGCAATCAAACAAATGTCTCCCCCAAGATATACCAAAGGTAATTTAACTTGTAATTTCTCAAGGAAATGATTTCATACATGTCTTTGGAATGATTCATCATCTAATACGTTTACTTCCCAAAAAATTTCAAAATTATTATATATTTTAGATAAATTTTTATATTTTATATTGATTATATGTTTTTACAATTTAAAATTTTGGGTAAACTACATGTTTAGTACCAAACTATTACTTTTGTTCTATTTTGGTATATAAACTTTAATTTTTTCTCAAACCATATTTAACATTTAGTTTAGGTTTCATTTTGGTATCTCGTCCGTTAAAAACTTAATGAAACTTTGTATGTGACATTTTATGGGTAAATTACATCATTCATCGCTCAACTATCTTCTCACTTCTATTTTGGTCACTAAAGTTTAATTGTTTTGAATTTAATGACTTAACTTTCAAATTAGTCTTGTTTTAATTACTCTAACTTATTTTATTAACATATGAGGGGGATTTGATTTAGGGTTTGTGGTATAACTTTTGAGTTTGGGTATAATGTTGAATTTATTTTTTTTATTTTAATTATATATTAATAAAATAATAAAAATGTCATGTCACAAAAAATATTAATAAATAAATTAGAGTGATTAGAACATGAACAATTTGAAAGTTGAGTAATTAAATTGAAAATTTTCAAACTTTACCGATCAAAATAGGAGTGAGAAGATAGTTGAGTGATGAATGATGTAATTTTACCATAAAAAATGACATGTTAAGTTTTTACCACCAGGGTACCAAAATGAAACCTAAATTAAATGTTAAGTATGATTTTGAAAAAAACAGTTTAGGTACTAAAATGAAACAAAAGTGATAGTTGAAATACTAAAAATATAATTTACCCTAAAATTTTATAATTTTCATCCTAATTTTATAAATTTGTCTAGTAACATAAAATAATTGGTGCGTCCATGCAGGTAACCTTGTTAAAAACGGTGGATTTGAGAATGGTCCACTTACCTTCAAGAACTTCTCAACAGGGGTCCTCTTGCCTCCAAAGAAGCTAGACAGAATCTCAACACTCCCTGGCTGGATCATTGAATCACTAAAACCAGTAAAATACATCGACAAGAAGCACTTCTCGGTTCCTTCCGGACAGTTTGCCGTCGAATTGGTAGCTGGAAGAGAGAGTGCCATCGCCCAAATCATCAGAACAGTTGCCAACAAATTCTACATTCTCACATTCACCATCGGCGATTCCAGGAACGGGTGCCATGGATCCATGATGGTTGAAGCATTTGCGGGCAAGGAAACTCTCAAGGTCCCATACGTATCACAAGGCAAAGGTGGATTCAAGACAGCAAGTTTTAGGTTCCAAGCGTTGTCTGCTAGGACCAGAATTACGTTTTACAGTGCCTATTACCATACAAAGTTGGAGGATTATGGGCATATGTGTGGCCCTGTTCTGGATGATGTGATTGTTCGTCCTGTTTCTTAGTCCAAGGTTGGATTCAACCTTCCATCCCATTAAAATGGTCCCTTTTAAATTTTAAAGTGGTCCCATTAAAAATGTCCTATTAGAAAAATCAACAATAACACTTACATCTTCCATTTTACCCTTTATCATATTTCAATTTACAAATTATTAAAAAAAAAGTAAAATTTCAATTCGTTATCCCATCAAAACAAATGTCAAACATGTGGAAAGTAAAAGTTGACTACATTAAAATTTTAAAATGCTAAACATAAAAATCTAAATAAGTTTAACTCTATCATCATAACTAGACTTTCTTGAAGACCAATGACTAAAACAAAAACTCATCAAATAATTGAACATGCTTGTAATATATCAGCACTAACGTGATGAAAATAACTCTTAACACCGGAACATACTTGCAGTAAAAAAAAAAACTACTTCTACGAAGTTTAACGAAATGAAACAATATTTTCAAAAGAAAATAATTTTCCATTACAAATTTTTTACAATAATTTCAAAAAAATATTTTATACTCTATCTAACTTCAACACTACGTGCATCATATTTACTTGAGTGGTATATAACCCATATTTACAAAAAGATCATCATGATTGAACAAAATATCACAAAATTGATAACAATACCTATAAAGCTAGGACATTTACTGCATTTACTGTTGAAGTTGAATATGCAAAAGATCTTCTTGCACAATATCTCGGACACAATGAAGTTGGATTGGAAGTTCAATATTTTTTTCAACCTTTCCTTACCCATGTATGATAACCTATAATTATTTTCTCCATGAACCTTCATAATTTCAATCATGCATGATTGCAATGTTAAGAAAACATTGTTCAAATTTTCCGATGATAACTCGTTTATCATCGTTAAATGATTCTTCTACAACTTTCACCAGTTCATCAATTTTTGTAGGAGATTCTTGATGCTACAAAGATTGTATTGCTCTAAAATATCCAAGATCCAAAACATTGAACAAGATTTGTATTAGTCTCATAAGTCGGTTATTTAAAGAGACCGAAGTATTAATAGTTGAACATTTAAATGGATTTTTGTCGATTTTAAGTGGATTTCATGGAAAATCAATCTAGGAGAAGAAAGATGAGTGAAATTTGAACATTTTTGGTAATGATCTTGTCGCGATATATGATCGATGAATGGTGGTGCTTGGTTGTCGGCGAAGAGCAAAAAATGTATTGGTAAAATAGAAAACTATTAAAAAATTCAATGGAAAAATCGATACACTCCAAAAGTTTAGTGTCTAATACGACATCGTTTTAAACATCAAAATTACCATATCAAAACGACATCATTTTGGTGTGGCATGCCACATCAACAACCGTTAGCCATGCTATAATCTCGTTACTGACTTAACAACGAAGTAGCATAATTGAATATAAAACTAAAGTTTAATACTATAATTAGTAAAATTAAAAGTTTAATGGTATAAACGAGTATGCGGACAAAGTTCAGTGGTATCTGACGTAGTTTAACATTCTACCTATAGTTAGGTAAAAAGAATAAGGTCTTTTGATATCATTTCCTTAATTCTTAACGAGTGTTTTACTAGTCTATTTTGTAATTTTATGAATCGGATAAAATAATTAATTTAATGCTCTCTCTTTTTAAAAAAAATATTAATGACAATTTATATGACACATCAATAAGTGGATATACTCATATGTTATTTTATTTAATAAATTAATATCATCCAATAATATTACAACATGTGTTAGTATATTATTAATAAGAAAATATTAAAAATTTGAATAAAGACCTTGAGGAGGGTGTTAGGATCCAAACCTAGAACTCTGGTAAGGGATCCAAGGTTTACCCATTAAATCAAATTCTCAGCTTGATATATTCTTAAAAAACATATTTAAAGAATTACATTGGATCCCTATAAAATATATAAAGAATAGCCTTAGGCGGGGTGGGATTCAGACCTAATATCTACTGTAAAGATGACCACCAAGGCCTAACCACGAAACTTATAACAGTCAAAATTTCGAATCAACATATGAGAGCTGATATGGAATAGCTTTGGGCCAATTTAGGTGCATGATTGGACCATTGAGTCATGATGGGTCTTATTAGGATGGAATTGAGCCCATTTAGACCTAGAAAAAGGGAAAATTGTGAAGGAACTTAATGTTGAAGGACCAATTGAGTGATTAACTCATTGAGGGAAATCTCAAGTTGATTTTCCCGTGATCTGGATGACGTCACTATGGGTTTAAGGGGGAAAGCTTATAGCTTTTCACCCACCCTTCATCACATTGTATTCTTCCTTCTCTCTTCATTTTCTCCCCAAAAAGCAAAAGGCCCCATCTTGGTTTTGTTAGTGGAAATCTCGACTCAAGCAAGGTAAGAAATATTTCAAAGAATCCATGGGCTTCAAAATGAGATCAATATCACTAATTTGAAGGCATTAGCTATAGGAAGGTTTTAGAAGGGTTTCAGCTTTAAGGCTAAGTTAGGAGAAATTTAGAGCATGTCTATGTTTCTAAATTCATCCTTTGCATTTATTTTATCAGTATGAATGTACAAAAACCTTTTTTGGTTGTGTTTGATTAGTGAAAGAGAAAAGAGAGTACTTTAGAGCTTGAGGCACAAAGAAGATTGGAGGAAGTTGATTCAAGGGCCTACATTCAAACTAGTGTATTACTAATCCTTTGTTATATCATGGCATTCATAAAACGTGACGTCTTAGTTTCATTTATAGCTTTGGAACATGTTTGAGTGATATACATGTTTTATGGCTTGAATGATGAATTATTATTAAACATGGGTTTATATGGTGCTAAATAAACCTATAAGACTCCCTAGACTATACAAATGAAGTATGACCTTACTAGAAGTGTACATACTAGATTTAAGGGTGATTTTTAGCCTAAAATGACATTTTCTAGGATTTTGTGTCGACAATGTTCATGTAGTGTCAATATTATTTAATTGAACATCGATGTTGAGATTAGTATCGATACTCAAAGTGAGTATCAATAGCCAAAGGGTGAGCACTGATACTCATATGGCAATATTAATACCCATGGGAATTAAAGTTAATTTGAACTTGGAATTGATAACAATACTCAAGGTAAGTATCGATATCCTTAGTCTTGGTACCAAAACTCGTGTGGAGGTATCGATACCATGGTGTTTTAATTTCATTTTGAAACTAAAATTGATATCAATACCTAAGGAGGGTATTGATACTCAAGGCTTGGGTATCAATACCCGAGTGAATGTATCAATACCATTAGTGATGATTTGTTTTTTTTTTTTTGAAATGAGACTTGAGAGTAGTATGGTTAATGATACTTGAAAATGAATAAAGTTTCTTTGAGGGGTACAAATTACTAATATACCTTATAAGTGTAAAATTATGAAAATATCTCTATAAGACTAGATGAACAAAAATGATGGCTTAAATGCAAAGAATTAATAATTTGCATAGAGTTCTAAAGCTTGGCCTTAGTGGTGTAGGAGTATTTGTTTTTGGCCTTAGTGGCATAAGTGGATTTAATTCTTGGCCTTAGTGGCATAAGTGCAATTGCTTGTGTGGCCTTAGTGGCAATTGCTTATTTACATATATGATATATCTATCTATGTAGCCTTAGTGGCGATTGGAATATATGAATATATATAACATAAGTGGCGAATGGGTATCTATCTAAATGACCTTAGTGGACAGATGTAAATACACATGTGTACACTTATGCGACCTTAGTGGCAAGATCTATCCGAATATCCACGATTACATGTGTATATATATAGACTTAATGCAAGATGATATCGATATATATTGTTTTATTATTGATGATGAGATTAAATTTTGTCTTGCTAATTAATGGTGAAAGTTCATGACTAGGCCTTAGTTACGAACTAGAAAAAAGCATGAGACTAATATTATTGAGCTAATGAAATTGATTGATCTTAGGTATATCATGCCTTGGAATTTTGAATTATGCAGATACTTGTTGCTCATGGCTTATACTAATAGCATGCTTATGTTTATGATGCAAATTAGATTAGTAATATACTATTAAACTTGTGAAGCTCAACCTTTGTATGTTTTCCTTCGCATATTAATGGACTTGCCTAGTTTATGGAGCATCGTCATTATAGGATTTCTAGCATCTACTTTTGTGGTACAATATCCAAGTACTTTAGTGGGCATATGTATCCATATGACTTTACATATATTAGTCTATGACTTTATTTATCTTTTGGATTTATATCAAAAATCAATTGTAAACGAAGCTCTAATTTGTAAATATTTTTTAAATTTGTTTTATAAACTTGTAGTTTTCAAATTGTTTACGGTTTTATATTATGATCAAGAAGAAAGATGTTTTCAAGTAGTAGTCTCTTCGGTGATCCAATATGGTACACTAAGTGTGTCTCATACCATATTGAGTTTAGGGTGTTACATTTAGTAGTGTCGAGGTTAAGTTGAATCCTAATGTCTTGAGTCATATCCATATGAAAGATTATAGGCCTATTTCATATTGTGTGGTAGTTTATAGGTGTATCAATTTTACAAATTGTCGTTGTGATAGTTAGCTCTTCCACTTATGTAGCAAAGAATGCCTCTACATCCTATTCTTCTTCATTGTGGTAAGTAACAACATTACTCTCCACAAGTCTTTTCTTCAACCAACAAGCTTTACCACACAACATTTCTTCCTGCAATTGTAACAAACTTCCCTTCAAACCTTTTATTGTTGTCATGGTTTTTGAAAACTCCACATTCACGAAATCCACATTTCACTTAATTTCTATGAACCTACCATTGTCACGTTGTTTTAAATTCATTTGCTTCTATTGGCATAGAGTACCTCTTCTTCTTTTTTCAATGAGACTACTCCATTTGTATAGCTAAAACTCCTTGCCTAGCTTACAAAATTTTCAAATTCCACAAGTGATATTTGATTTTACCATCCTTTATAGCAGTCACAAAACTCCTTAACTATAGCTTTATATCATGGATAATAATTCTT